GAATAAGTGATGAAAACACTTTAAAAGTGAATGTACATAACGTCCATTGCGTCGCCGTCACCGTCACCGGTAGTTGTCAAAAAAGCTAATTCCGTGTATTTGTATGAAGTAAGTTACATGAACGAGCTGACGGTGACGGTGCCGCTCAAATTAGCTCACTCTCAATTTTGCTTATGCGATTGCGTCAAATGACAACTATTCAGTGTTTTGTTTACATGTTTGAAAGTAAATTTTTTCCAGTTTGTGAAAATTCTAATATTTATGGAAAAACGATATGTAAAAAATAATGGAGGAAAACCTAATACTTAGAAGAAGTGAGAGAGTAAAATACAAATTTTCCAAAGAGTATCAGCGAGTTAATGATTTTTCGGGCGCAATATCAAACGAATTGTGTGTAACTTGACGCATAAGCATCGTTGACGGTGATGGTGACGGTGGCGGTGACGCTGTCGCAATAGATGGTATATACTTTCACTTTAATACTTATTAATTATAACAAAATGAATAAAATTTTGAAAATCTTAAAGCCCCCTTTTCGGTCTATTATCGGATTCCGCTGGTATGCTGGGAACAATATTTTTGAGCAATTTAATTTTTTTATTTTCAATTTTACATACATACAGGGTGTCCCAGAAGTAACGTACCAAACTTTAGGGGAAGGTAGGTGGGAGGGTGAGCTCCCTGATAAACAAAAAATTTTCAGGTAAAAGTGTCACCGTTTTTGAAATATTAACATTTTTTTGAATTAAAAAAAAATCGTGCCTTTTCATGCATTTTCTTTAACTGCATCTACAAACCAGGCTATACTTAGGGCCGTTTTCTAATGTAAGCAGTAAAGGTGGCTTTACTAATAGGGCAGATAAATTGTACCTCACTTTAAAGTGTTTTCGTTTTCTCATTTGACCGGTAAAAATAAATTTATTATTCCGTAGAGTGAAACTTCACTACATTTCCGAGAGTGAAACCTCACTACATTCGTCATCAAATTTCAAAGGTTGGCAATGCAACATAAGCAAATATAGAGCAAGAACAACTGTTAGCAAAAACCAAAACCTTGGTTGCAATATCTAATATATCTGACTCAGGAACCAAAACCGAACCAAAATTTAAAGTTGGGTACAACTTTTTATAGGTTGCATCGGGTGAGCAACAATTTATCGATTCGAGAAATTAATGCGCTGATGAGAAAACCAAAACTCGTATATCGAGACGATAAAGTGGCCGGTAATCTAAAGGTTAGATGAGAAAACGGCCCTTAGTAAGTTTTTTATGTAAAATACTTCCAGATAGTTGCTTCTCCATACTCAAATGCAATGCAGTTAAAATATATTAAGGAACCATCATAAAATTAGGACTATTTTGGGATTTTTAACTTTTTGATATTTTCTTCCCCAACTTTGACTATCTCTGGTGAAAAAAAAATGTACTGAGCTATAACTTTACATTACATAAAAAAATTGCTCATTTAATAAAGATTTCGGAAAGGTGCCACTCTTACTGTTTCGAATAGAAAAAAAAGTTATAGCCGCTTTTGTGGGCAAAGGACTAAGACACGCTAGAATGTATTTAACTGATTTAAATTTAAGTTGCTCTTGTTACCGACCAATGACATGCTAAATAGTACAAAGGTACATTATTACCTGCTCCTGAACACGTTTATGCAAGGCCCAGTAATCAGTGTTTGTGCTGAGGAGTTAGATGAACGTTCCAAACGTTGCTTTTCAATCGCTTGTTTTGTATGGAAAAAGATTTTGACAATTTATATTTTTTTGCGAGAAGAAATTAAAAATATTCGACATTTTAGAGACCGAATAATTTGAAAAAAAAGAAAATCAAATCAGCTGCTCTACTGATACTACCTGTTCAATGTGCCTCGGGTAGTACAAAACATTGCAACGAAGTACATTTAACTGTACTTCGAAGTACGAGTACAACGGCTCAAAAAGAAGTACTGTACTTCCGAAAGAAGTATGGTTGGTCACATTAGTCATCCCTCGTCAGGCTATGGCAAACCTCTGAGTGTATTCAGCTATGGAAAACTCATCGTCGTTTAAAGTGCAAAACCGCGTATCAACAAAATGCAAAACCGCGTATCAGCAAAATGCAAAACCGCGTATGTGAAGTTGTAGAAATTATTTTCTAGAGCGTAAAAACACTCATATTTCAAAATGGTTCTCTTTTTTATAAAGCAATCGCATTTCTAGATAGTATATTTCAGGACGAATGGATAAGGATTGAGCCAAGAGCTTGTGTGAGCAAATCCCATTTTTGGCAGCCAATGTCAGTTACGCGGTTTTGCAGAATGGCGATACGCGGTTTTGTACTTTAAACGACGATATGCGTAACAAAATGCATAACCAAAACAAACGCGAAATATATCTCCCATACAACGTCGCTGAAAATTTTTCGGGATAAGTTTATCGCGATAAGCTGTTGTTAGTGATCGCGAATGGATTACTTGCATCGTTTTTCCCATTTATGAGAGGCCGACATCGGCAATGCTCGGACATACTTCTCATATTCGAGTGAGAGGAGATTTCTTTGCTTTTTTCGATCGCGAATGAAAAGCAGCGGGAATTTGTCGATCGCATTCCGAATGTGAGAGATGATAAATTTGTTTGCATTTTTCACTCGCGGTAAAATAATGCAAAAATAATTGTGGAATATTCTTGATCGCAAACTTGCGTGTGTCACAAAGCAGCATTTACATTCTGAATATAAATAATATCGGTGGAGAATTTGGGAATACTGAAACCTTAAGTAAAAATGAAGTGTTTAATGCAGACTAACTGCTTTAGGGAATCTCTTCTCAAGGCGAGACATGTACTACATATTATTCTTTTCTAATTTAGGAATTTCGATAATGCCATAATTAATCGCTGGAAGAAACCATTTATGTACATGTGACTATACTTTTTTTTATTATCTAGCTCAGTTTACGGGGGGAAGGGGGGTTGAGTATGGTAAGAAAATAACTTGTGTCAAAACCAAGCTAATTGAACAATCTTTTTGAGTATGTAGTTGTAGTAGCATTGATCCACAAGTTGCATTTTGAAGTTTTCTGTCAGCATTTTCATTAGATTTTCGCGAATAAAAGCCTTGAATGTACTAAACCTGCGCTCGGCGTGAGTTGATACAAGTGGCGCCCAATTTAAATATGGAACGCTTAAAACTTTCATACAATCCTGTACAATTAAAGGTAGAAACCGCAAAAAGGCAAATATCTTAAAAAGGGCAAAAAAAAGGCAACATCAAATGTGTATATATGGAATCAGGGAAAGCTAATTCATGTACATTCTTAATCGAATATACTCTACCTCTTTAGCAGAAAAAAGGATATTTCCATAAAATCCGTTCCCTGCTTATTCCATTATGCAAAATCTACATATCGCACACCATCTTCAAAAGAGGCACAACTTAAAAATCAGATCCGAAATATAACTGCTTGNTAAATTTGTTTGCATTTTTCACTCGCGGTAAAATAATGCAAAAATAATTGTGGAATATTCTTGATCGCAAACTTGCGTGTGTCACAAAGCAGCATTTACATTCTGAATATAAATAATATCGGTGGAGAATTTGGGAATACTGAAACCTNGGGAATTTGTCGATCGCATTCCGAATGTGAGAGATGATAAATTTGTTTGCATTTTTCACTCGCGGTAAAATAATGCAAAAATAATTGTGGAATATTCTTGATCGCAAACTTGCGTGTGTCACAAAGCAGCATTTACATTCTGAATATAAATAATATCGGTGGAGAATTTGGGAATACTGAAACCTTAAGTAAAAATGAAGTGTTTAATGCAGACTAACTGCTTTAGGGAATCTCTTCTCAAGGCGAGACATGTACTACATATTATTCTTTTCTAATTTAGGAATTTCGATAATGCCATAATTAATCGCTGGAAGAAACCATTTATGTACATGTGACTATACTTTTTTTTATTATCTAGCTCAGTTTACGGGGGGAAGGGGGGTTGAGTATGGTAAGAAAATAACTTGTGTCAAAACCAAGCTAATTGAACAATCTTTTTGAGTATGTAGTTGTAGTAGCATTGATCCACAAGTTGCATTTTGAAGTTTTCTGTCAGCATTTTCATTAGATTTTCGCGAATAAAAGCCTTGAATGTACTAAACCTGCGCTCGGCGTGAGTTGATACAAGTGGCGCCCAATTTAAATATGGAACGCTTAAAACTTTCATACAATCCTGTACAATTAAAGGTAGAAACCGCAAAAAGGCAAATATCTTAAAAAGGGCAAAAAAAAGGCAACATCAAATGTGTATATATGGAATCAGGGAAAGCTAATTCATGTACATTCTTAATCGAATATACTCTACCTCTTTAGCAGAAAAAAGGATATTTCCATAAAATCCGTTCCCTGCTTATTCCATTATGCAAAATCTACATATCGCACACCATCTTCAAAAGAGGCACAACTTAAAAATCAGATCCGAAATATAACTGCTTGCTTGTAAATGGTACGGATTCAACACAATTATGTAATACAAAAACAGGTNAAGAGGCACAACTTAAAAATCAGATCCGAAATATAACTGCTTGTAAATGGTACGGATTCAACACAATTATGTAATACAAAAACAGGTATAATAGTAGTTTTCTAGTTAGAGAATATACATAATCATGAAGAATAAAATATTTGAGTTATTATGGTGCGCGGTATGTACATACATTGAATATTTTAGCCAAAAACAATGCATAGTATGTATTTCGTGCTATCAGATAACCTACTTACTTACCCCAATGCCAACCAATGGAAGAGGTTTTCTATGAACTTAAAAGTATTGTTCATATGGATGTCTGTTTTAAGTTCAACAACTGAAAGCTTATTTTATTAATGTAATTTAACTAGAAATTATGAATGTATAAAACAAATATTAACAGTTCTCGAAACGTTGATCGATATATTTTTTTTTAATTATAGCAGATTTTTAGTTATAACCCATTGCAAGTATACTTATGTATTTTAATTTCAGATATTCTAAACGTGGAAGAGAACTTTAATCGAGTTTGGGGTGGAATCAATGATGTTATTAAGAAGTACATTACTGAAATGAATTTAAAATTCGAATTACAATTTTCAGCAATGGCGCGCGAGGTACGAAAACGCGATGAAATCATTGCGAACCTACAGTCAAAAATTAGAAATATTGAAACGAAATCTTCCTCGCCCCGCATAAAAAACGATCAAGATAAACATGGCACAGCAAGGGATGATACAGACCCGAAATCAGTAGGCCATGCGAGTTCGAGTTCGTCGGCAGAACTTTTGTTTATGGTAAATTCACATACTACTGTAATATACATACAAAATACATAAAAACATTATTTTGCAAAATGATAAGCCAAAATATCCAATTATTCCAGAGAGGCGACTCATTAGACACGGTATTTTTGTCATCCCCACCGCAAGTACAGCGCCACAGTTCTTCGCCAATTTTTAAAAAGCTATTTAAGGATTCATCCAGACACATTTCCACACGCAGCTTGTACAAAAATAACTCGGAAGAAAATATTGCATTTGAAAAACTACATAAAGGAAACTATATTGCTACTGTATCAGATGTTTCAGGAAATTTAAATAGGCAAGATAGTGTTGTCCTTGATATTTGTGACAGTTCGAGCTCCAGCTCATCCTCAAGTAAACTTAGTGTTAAGTATGAAGATATGGAGCAAAAAAGAAACGAAAATGTATTTGCTAATGTACACCATAATGACTGGGAGGTAAAAATGCTTGCTGTAGAAATGGCTAAGCAGGAAAGAAAGCGTGCAAATTCAACAGATTTCAAATATAGCAATTCTATTTTAAGGCGGCGTCGAAAATTTAGTGATACTGAAACAGATATTAGTGATACAGAAGCAGATGTTGAAGCTTTAACTTCATCTAGACCTAGAGCTTCAAGTTTGGATCAATTTAATTTAAGGCATGGTTTCGGAAAAGGCGTTTTTAAAGCAATTAGTATCGATCGTGATAAAAATAAACTTTGAGATTTGCCAAAATATTTTGTGGGGGTGATGGTGTTTCTAGGATTAGTCAAAACGATTCCAATAACATTTGAAGTATGACTGAAAAGTATTTACTAAAAGACAACATAATGAAAAAATTCGAAAAATATGAAAAATTTTAAAATTGACAAATAACAAACCACGTTTTTTGTCGGAACTAGACAAAACAACGCATGCAGAAAACAGTACTTAGACTACATTCCGTCCATTGTACTGTTTTCATGTTCCTTCTAATCCGTTTTAAACGATTTACGAATAAACCTAAGCAGATTGTTGGCTCGCTACGTTATTAATCCGGTTCTAGCTTGTTCAGATCGTCTTATATATTTAAGAATGCTAGAGATATGTGCGCACATTTTATGCCAGTTCTCTGTTGATTTCAACATGTAGTCTACAATGATATTAGTTACTATCCTATGTGTTCCGTGTTTTCAGTAAGACCTGTGCAGGTTGGACAGTGTGGGGAATAGGGACACGAATTTCGATACGATACGATACCATATCGATACTTTTGGCATTCGATACCGATATTTTCTACTCGATAGTTTTAAAACGATATTTTTTGGAATCGAGTACCAGAACCCTAGTATCGTATCGAATGTCATAAACTCACATTCCAACACTGTAGGAAAAAAATTTTAGAATTAAAAAAAACATGCTAAGTTGAAAAAATATGCATATGAAAGAGCACCAAATCAACTCGTTTTAAATTTGAGTATATACGTTATAAAATATGTGGTTTTTTAAGAAAAAAAAAATATTTATTTTATATGTTCCGTCGATGGCCTGAACCCGGACCCTCTTGGCCGCAACCAATTGTATCAAGCGTCTTTGCACACTCAGCTACAGTTTGAATCAACATCACAGCGCGTGAATAGTGCATTATGTCATACCATGTATGTGTGTATGTGTTGTCACCGCTGTGCATGCTTTGTATACCATATACTTTCTTAATTACATATGAAAAAGCATCCGAGACGTGCAAAGCGCCATCCGTGTAGTGAAAATGCTTCATTTTAATACGGGCGTATTTGAATTGAATATTTCCATTATATGTACGTAGTGTATGTATAATGGAAAAATCCATTTTGTTACGACTTTTCATTTGATTTAAATACGAACATTTTTAAACGGTAATCAAATAAAAAAATGTTATTCTTACAACGCGTTATTTTTCTCAGTGAAGGATAATGTTATTAACAGCTCAACCTAATAAATCCCGGCGAGAGTTTTTCTACGCACGCACGCAAGTTGTTCTCATTTGCGTGCGTGATTTCTCAGAGTTGCATTTCTGTCAAATTTACAGAAGTTTGCTGAGAAAAATTTGAATTCATAGTCGCGCCAAAATGCCAAAAAGACAAATCTTGGAATTTGAGTTAGCTTTTTACGCACGCATATAAGGTTGGCCTGTAACAATTCTTCCCGATATAAATAGGGCTTTAAAGTGCAGAAATTTGTACTATGGTTAGGATTGCATGTGGTGGGATTTGAACCCGCGGCCTCGGTGCTTAAGTCAACACCTCAATCTCTACTTGTTGTAATAATAATAAAGTCCGGCGCTTACACAATATGTTAGTGTTTGGACGAACTTCTCCTCCGATTTTTCGCGTGGGCCTTAATGTTGTTGCACAAAGGGGATGCCTACAGTTTTTTGTCGACTCTGAACGGCGATTGTATTTTATGGGAAGCTGTTTTTCATTTTCAAGGTTGGCGCACTTCTAACCACTACACCCAGCGGCCTATATGCGAGCGGCAGATAAATTTTTTGGTTTTTGGTATCGATATTTGGAATATCGAGTCTTTTTATTCCCATATTAATGGGTACCCGATATTTTTAAAGCGATACTTTAAATGAGTACCATATCGATACTTTCGGTTCGATATCGTCTCCCTAGTGGGGAATCTCCATGCCCAAATATTTTTAGATACTCTCCATAGGCGCCATGTCCCGAAAGAAACTGTAGTTTAAGTCACCGTGGGCTCCAGCTCCAGCCAGGTTTTAATGCATGGAATGAGCTTATGAGTCCACCTACCCTTTTCCGATTTATCCTAACGCTTTTGCCAGATCTGCCTAGAGCGACATCTTTCCTGCTCTGCGACTTCTTTTCAGTTTAAATTGGTATTTCCAACAGATGTATGTACGCTTATACACTCTTTGCATCTCGTTTGCCAGGATACGTACGGGAATCAGTCCGGAAATTACGAATGATGCTTCTTTAGATATTGTTTGGAATCAACAAATTAACCCTAGTTCGCTTAGGCGATATACAGATGTGGGTATTTTCGCATAATATTTTAGGCTCATTGTTTCAGCCCAAAATGGGAGCACCGCAGAGTAAGAATGAGCTCACCAGCTTACTAAGCAATGCCCTTCTACAATGTTTGGGACCGCCGATATTTGACATCATTCTAGATAAGCATGCCTATAAATTTTATGCTTTCTTTGCTGCATATTCCAGGTGGGCCTTAAAGTTTAACTGGCCATCAATCATTACCCCCACATATTTGCAATGCGCGCCTATCACAATCAGGTGTTTGTGTCACGTGAAGTGACCAGCCAGCAGTCCAACAAGTTTTCTGCAGTCCGGTCTGCTCAGTGCGAGTAAAAAAAAACTAGGTAGACCTTCTGAGATTGAAGGCAACATGAGTTTTGCCCACCTGCAGCCCCTCCATTCCTCTCAGTCATTGCTGAGCGAAGTATTCACCCAGTTTCTGATGGTGACTTAGTTGGACGAAGGTGGGAGTGCTATGGCTGGTCGCGGACCGAGGAATGCCTGGTCTGATCCTACTCGGGCCAAATGGTCAGATGTCTCATTACCAGGTACTTCCGAGTGACCTGTCATCCAGAGTAAAGAAATCTCGTTATGTTTACTAACATATTTTAGTCGAGACTTGCATTGCGGAACTAGTTTGCAATGCAGCTAGCTAGTGCAGCTTTGCTATCACTGCAGACACGGAAACTCCTTCCCCTCCACCAATTTTCCACCACATAGTCCGTGGCCTTAAGGATTGTGAAAACCTCAGCCTGGAAGTCCGAAGCATAGTCTCCAAGCAAAAAGTGAAGCGTATCCCCAATAACTTCGACAAAGACCCCAGATCCTGACCCAGAGTCAGTTTAGGGGCTATCTGTAAAGATTCGACAACGACTGAGTCCGGACTCACGCTGGCATTAAACCAGCATTCAGACTCAGGGAACTCAGCATTATAGAATCCCTCCAACAAAGGTAATGGTGGCATACTATCCTGTGGCATTGAAAATACACAAGTTCTTAGATCTCTGCCACCCCCCGGGATTTCCGTCTCGCCTGTTATACATACCAATATCCGTTTCTTTTTTAGTCTGCAGGTAGCTTCCCGCGTATGAAGACAAAAACTGACGGTAAGTGCAGCAGGGCATCAAGAGCAGCGCCAGGTGTTGTAGAGAAAGCTCCCGTACAGCACACCGCAATCGTGCTTAGAAGTTTATCAAGTAGATTCCCCACGCTATTGAATGAGAGTCTGCTCTACCATACCACTGACGCGTAGCTGATTATGGGCTTGATTGTGAACAGCTTTTCAATATACACAGACGAACGAGAGCACAAAGCGTGTTGCCCGAGCTCGAGCAACTCGGTGCCCCTCTCCTTTCCTCGTCACGCTCTCTCCTACGAACGCCGAGTTGCGGCAACAAAAATCGCCGTGTGTAAATGAAACGAGCAACACCAAAAGGGAATGTGAAAAATCGCGTCGACAAAAGTTTCCGTGTATAAACGCAGGGGCACCGAGTTGCTCGTGCTAGGGCAACACGCTTTGTGCTCTCGTTCGTCTGTGTAAATTGAGTTAGCGGTTCACAGCTACGCGTATATATTGGTAGACCAAACAGCGTGCGTTCATATATGTATGTAGCTACAAGTGGCATTGATGCCTTATCGAACGTTCACTGCTATCATTCTCGTTCATAAGTGAATGTAAATGCTGCGTCAAATATTCGAGGAAAGTTGGTGTGGCTAGAGATCAGTGTTGCCAAACATGGGCTTATGGAGATATAAATCCAGAGAATTCCCTTTGGTGACAAATCCCACGTTTTGCCAAAGACCTGTTTACATTGCTAAAATGCTGTCAATGCTTTGGAGGTAATGTGCTGACGTGAGATTTCCACAATAGTTTCGTATCAGGGAACTGCAATTATTCGTGTTTTTAAGTGATTGGTTGAATAGCACAAGAAATAGTGTTAGTGGATATTATTCATTGCAGAATATTCACACATATGCACTAACACTATTTTACGCTCGGCACACAAACCGAGAGCATGTACAATGACTAAGTTCTCTGTTGATATGCATTGTTGTAGTGCTCAATTCTCTCATTGAGCCATTAAACAAATTAGTTATACTGAAATGAGTAGGAGCACTAAGAAGCACCAATAGTTCAGTTGAGTGATTTTAGTGAATTTAGTAATTTTCGTCGTTTATAGTACGGATGCCCAAATCAGCACATATATATCAGCGGTGCTTGTCAAGCGCGGAAGCAAAAAGTTATCGGAAGGGGAAAACGAAGTCAACAGAATAGTAAGATTGTATGTGTGACAGTGATGGAAAATGAGTGTGCATAGTGCCATTTTCGGCCCATTCGGAAGTAGCCGGCACCTTCAGCACAATCGATTGATTTTCGGCACTATTTTTGCGTACCTCAATGCAACTAATAAATATTTATTTCAGATCCGCAATTAAAAATACTTTTCTTTACATTTAATCGTATGTGCCTAAATTGGTAAATGATATAAACATAGAAACGCAAGCAGAAGAATCTCGCTTCCACATTCGGCATATGCGCTTAACATTTTTGTTTAAACAAATTTGTCGAAATTTCATCTCTAAAGCAAATATTAAATATCATTTAATATATTTTAGATTTAAATAATCATTTTTAGTGGTGGGTGAGTCCGAGATGTTTAAATGATCGAGATAGTACATTCAATTCGCGTAGATTTTTGAGAACTTTTTTCGTTGAAGGTGTTGCACTTTTTCTTCCATACTGAAATTTGTGTACATCATTTATCATTGTCTAACAAAAACTACAAAATAAAGCTTAATTTAAAATATTGGAATAAAAAACAACAACGCTACACGCGCATTCATCCATATAACATAAAATGCGAACGTTCGTTATATGGAAGAAAGTGCGCAACACCGCAAACAGAAAAATTCAAAAAATCAATGGTATTTTCTAGACACTTCAGACACATTGCTTTCACATTGTTAACCCAAAACATCTCTACAAATTCTGAAGAAAAACTGTGAAAATTTGATGAAACTTTGTTGATTTTTTTC